ACTCCGTATGGGCACCGATACTAGTATCGGTGCATCCCTAAAAAACTATCCCCTCCAGCGCTGTGCTGTACACTCTCCCCTCTAGCACCATCTTCTTTCATATTCGGCCTTTTGTTTGGACAACCGGCATGATGTACTTCATCTCACCATGCCAGGTCTGTGAACTGAGCTGGGAATGTGTAATGAAAAAGGAAAAATTGCTGACAGGCTTACACAGTCTCGTCTGCTATATAAAATCCTGCCTGTCAGCAATTTTTCATCCAGGTCACTTTACTTTTACTTTATAGTGATATTAAAGACAAAATGGAGAGAATTGATCAAAATTGGAGCAGACAAAATCTGGAGTAGATTTGCATGACAACCAATCAGCTTTTCTCTTTCATTTTCAAAGCTTAACTGAACAAATTGAAGAGAGAAGCTGATTGGTTGCCAGGGGCAACTGCTCCAGATTCTGTCTGCTCCAGATTTCATAAATGCCCCCCAATGTTTTTAAGCTATTTCAAATGCTGATGAAATCACTTACAATGGATGCAGCTTCTTGATGTTTAAAAGCTTTAGATTCCTGCAGAATCAGCTGATCCTCTGGGCTCTGGCCATGATATCTTGTTTTGGGGTAGCTCGTTTTCCTTGAAGGGTCCCATGGAGCCACCCTTGTGTGTGCTGGTAAGCTATATGTGTCTCCACAAACACACGTACACAGCAAAGTAAGCCATTTCCCTGCTCCCAGCTCCTCCTTTCTCTCTCTCTCCTTCCATCTCCAGGCTAGTAGATGGATGGCTGCTGGAGACTGCTCTGTCCCTTGTGATCTTGTACTGGACAGGAAGTTTAGGAAAGCTGATACAATACCAGATAGTTATCCTTGATGATGGTTTAGCATGGATCTGGTGGGGGTACAAAAGGCAAAAAAAGTGTGAGGTCCCCCCAAAAGAAAGGGGGGGGCAGCGAGCATGTTGCCCCATGTATTCAAACCAACTACCAAATTGAAGTCCTCTCTGTCACAGTAAAGCATGTATTGTATACATTAGGGTACTATAAAAGCTAAAACATACAAGGTGTGAAATCTCTGATGTGACATAAAGTGCATCTAAAGCCAAACATTTTTTTTTTTTACACTGAGTGGGTTAGCATCACTGTCGGGTTTTTGCTGATTTCTATGTCCTCATTGGAGAGATTTACCCTCTCTATGTGTTCTAGTGACCACTGACATTGGGACTAAAGCTGCCCATACACCTGACGATTATCATACGATAATTAACCTTACGATAATCGTAAGGTTAATGGGCAGCGTACGACCGCATTTACTGTGCGGTCGTACGATTTTCGTATAACGAGCATGCTAGAAAACCCGCCAAAAATTGTACGCTTTTCGGCGCGATGGTAGCGCGATCGCAAGACAAAAGCCGCATGACCCGAGGTGCGCAAGCGCACACTGCCCGCTCACCATTGCAATCACCTGCAAGCCCTCCCCTCACCGCGTAGGACTTGCAATGATCGCAAGTACGATCTGCCTTTACATGATGGGACGGTATTAATTCATCTAACTAAATAGCAGTTGTTTACGACACACAATGCTTTAGCATGCAAAATGTATTTTACTTTAAAAGCTAACTTTTAATACTATGTCCCATGTTACACCCACGTTCAGGGTGTAACAGAAAGCATGGTCACATCACCAGCTCCCTCCCCCCTCCTTATCTGAATCACAAGTTACTTCTCCTTTCAGGCTCCTGTGGGTTTTTTAATTTCTTCGTGGCTGTGCATGGCTCTGGCCGCACAGCCACATCATCCCTTCAAAGATCCTTTGACAGGATCTGTGAATGGAGAGACCACAAATCCCATCAGCCACCACAATAAACGGACTTGTAGTTCTCAATGAAGTACAAGTGCCGTTCCCCAAAGTGAAAGTACATCCCTCCCTGGTCTCCTCACCCCCCAATGACAGTGCATCCCTCCCTGACCACCTAACGACAGTACATCCCTCCCTGACCACCTCAACCCCCAGTGACAGTACATCCCTCCTTGCCCCCAGGGACGGGAGGAAGAGTCTGCCGGAGCTAGAGTACTGCACTTGTGATCCACTGAACGCGGTTGCAATGCTTTACTTGCTCCTATGTAAAACAAACATTTTAACCACCTGCTGACCGCGGTGTTAAACCCCCTTCCTGTCCACTCCATTTATTTAGTATTCAGTGCTGAGGTACCTTGATTGACATTTATTCCGTCATGCAACGCTGTACTGAAATACATTTTATACCATATTTGGGGACAGATACAGCTTTCTTTTAGTGGTATTTATTCACCACTTTTATTTTTTACTATATTAAGAAAAAATTACTGAAAATTTGAAAACAGTTTTCCCTACATTATGTTATGAAACTGTTATCATTACCTAATGTTTTGGTAAAATATAAAAGACGTGGCCACATCAGGTAAATAGACACCAAACATGTCAAGCCGTAAAATTGCGTTTGCCTTTAAAATTGCAAAAAACGACCACACCCACAATTGGACATAGGCGGCGCTTTAAAAGATTTTACTGCTCATCATTTTCATCTTATCAATGATTGAGGCCCCTAGAATTATTGCTCGCACACCAAGGTTCGCAGTGATATGTAACATGTGTGGGGAAGTCATCATTTTCACACATAAATGCACCCGGCACGTTCGTTTGTATGTGCATGTACATCAGCGCAGGGGACCTTAAAGTGCATCTTCACCTTCACTTTGGCTAAAAATAACATCAGCTTAGAGCTCTGCATGCTGCAGTGACGTCACAAGGAGGGTGCGAGGGGTGCGGCCCGCACCCGGGTGACACCACTGCAGGGGTGACACCAAAATGACTGTCAGTCATTTTGGTGTCACTCCCTCTAAAAAGTCAGTTCACTCGGTCACCAAGTGAACTGACCAAGTCGGTTTTTGAAGTCATCTTACATTTATTAGTTAAACAAACATATTTCTTGTTTTCTACTTCCTGGTTCTCTTTGGCAAAAGTGATGTAATGTGCCCAAGTGTTGCATCCTGGGAAGGTACATCAGCAGAGCATTGGTGGGAAATCTCATCTGTAATCTCATGTGATCTCAGGGAAAGGCATTTTCCTCCTCTGAGATGATGTGCATGGTCGCATGTCCAAGTCATGTGCCAGAGTTCCAGAAAATAAAGTGAGATGTAGTAATCTGCCCTTAGTTAAAATGGCAACTGTGAGAAGAAAAGGGAGGGAAAGAAAAACAATAATAAAAAGCGTGTAATTATCTAGAAGTATGTGTTTGTAGATTGTCATTACTAAACATTCCTAAAGGTGCCTTTGAAGATATGGGTAAAGTTCCTATATAATGTGACTTTAATTTTTTTACTATCACTATGTCGCTTTGAAGAAGGGATCCTGTGTGGCCCTGAAACGTTGGCTAATTGACGCTTGTGACACGTTCCTTCAATAAATAAGCAGTGCTGGTGATCTCCGTCTTTTACGCTTTTGGAAAACACGGTGCCATCCGAGCACCACGACCACTAATCAAGGTCGAGTCGCTCTAATGAGTGCAGAAGACACATCAGAACACTTTCATTTTTTTTTAAACTAATTTTGTACACTTAAAGTGACATTAAAGGCAATTTCCTTCCCCCCACCCCCGAATGCAAGCGTAAGGACTGACCTTAAATGATGCCTCTTGATCCGACCATCCTCTTCTTTGCAGGAGTCCCTCCAGCACTGGTGCCGGTCTTCGATCCAGCGCTGACTCCTCTCTCTTCCTGGCTTTTCCTGTCCCACGGAGTTTGTGCAGGTGCTCACTGTTGGACTGCCTCCATTGACTTACCTTGTGTCTCTCGTCTCCCCGCTGAAGATCTGAACTGCGCATGCTCCCGCCCCATGATCCTTTGCGGCCACCCGAGAATCTTCAGATCTTCGGATGGGAGCGCACGGTGGAGGCACAGGTAAGTTATAACCCTTTTGTAATTTTTTTTTAATGTTTTTGCATATATGTGCTTGCTAGCAGTAGATTTATGCAAAAATATGCAAGGGTTTAATAATCTTTTAACTGTGCTATCACATAAGAGGGCTAATAATCCCCCTATGTGATTGCACAGATACAGTGACAGGTCCTCTTTATGGAGACATCAGGGATCTATTAGACCTCTAATGTCACCTATTGACCCCCAAAAAAGGCTGTGCCCATTTTTTTCTTTTATGAATATGTGCACATTTATTATTGTTTTGTAAAAGTTGGACTTTCCTTTTAGTGCAGATCCGGGATGCGCGTCCCAGGACCGCGCGATCGTTCACAATTGCACACAGCGATTGCTGCGCGGCCCCATTCATTTCAATGGGGTTACATCCAAAGGCAATCGCTGAAAAAAGGCACATGTACCTTTTTTTGCGACACACGACGCCCGGCAGTTTTAGGGATCCACCCAGCACGACTGGGGTGCCATGAGAAAATAAGCACGATCAGCGGTGGTGGGCGACTCTGTGACGGATCACGCAGGTATGAACCCGGCCCTAATAGTGGAAGGTAACACTGACACAGTAAATGACAACGCTGCTAATTGTTATGACAATACATGAACTATAATAGGAATACATTTTATTTGTACCCTTCAGCATCCAGGCTCTGCACACAAGATCCTGCAGACTACCTTTGCCGTGTCATTGTTATTACAGTGTCATGATGACAGTTGTTCCAGTGTGAATTGTACATGATTGCTGTGTGTGAAAAGCCTCCAGTGATGTGAACATCTGATTTAGCACCTAGGTGGGAAGATCTTCAGAGGAATCCACGGGTGAAGAGCTCTCCTTGTCCATGACGTTGTCACACTCCGATCTAATTGTCGGAAGGGAGACAGGGAGGGGGCAGAGGAAGGGAAGGCTGGCTTCCCCTTTAAGAATGAGTGACTGTGAGCTGTCTCCTCCTCCCCTGGTGACACAGCAGTTGTAAATGTCCTATCAGTAATTTAAAGCCCACAGACTCCTCCTTGAAGTGAGGAACAGTGGTGGGCTGATGGAAATGTAGTGAGCAGTCTGAGACAGGCACTGGGTGAATCATTAGCCAACTGCTACACTGGGATGCTTTTGTCTGGAGTCTAAAAGGAAATACATATACATTGATATAGACAATACTATACTGTCTGCCTTTTCCTGACCTGCATCTTCTTCTTTTTACCTTGGGCTTTTACCAATACACCAAAGTGGATGTAATATCTGGTGGATCTCCAGTCCAAAATGCTGCTGGTTTCCCAGCGCATAGAAGCACCACGCATGGAGCCTTATATACCAGTAAGTAACCTAGGGATCGCTAAAGTCTGCCTCTGTCTATTAATCCCCAGTGCAGATCTCAGGCTTCTCAGCCCTCCCCTAACTGGAGCACAAAGTGTCCCCCCCGTGTTACTTCTAATGTCATAGAGCCCTGCATGTGTTCCTGTGCAGTAAAGTGGGATTATTGATAAACATTATAACCCTGCTTGTCAACACCATCATGCCATGCTCACACACTGAACACTGGGTTTTGCCTAAATGATACATTGTCACAAAAGCGAGAGAGAGATGATGTTAAAGTGATAAAGATGCTGTATGTGCAGTTTATATCATTTGCACAGCTGATGGCAGAGGGTTGTGTGTCTTCTCTGGGTATCCTTTTTTTTTTTGTTATTAATGTTTTCCAGGTCCAGCCTGGTAAAATGCTGTCTTGATTTATTCTAGATTAATGCTGACTGCCCAGGGACTAATAGGATTAAAATCTGCCAATAAAATCTGCCTTGAAAGCTGTAATATCCCTGTGTAAACACTTGCTTGCAGTAAAGGTCTGCCTCCTATCCTAATAATAATTAGGGGCTGTTTAGCGGATTGCACATTGGGTTAAGCAATGGGCAATGAGTGTCGGTGGTTAACCCCCCCCCCCCCCCCCCCCGCAGAAGGGAAAAAAATAGCGACGGGGGTGGG